TTTACAATAAATCTCTTTCCAACAACGAATCCTTGCAAGTCCACAAACGTTGGTTCGACCATAGCGAAGTACTCTTCGATACGTTCGGGAAAGAAATGTCGTGTATAGCCTTTTGATGTTTTCTATTATTCTTTTCTCATACTTTCCAATGTGTTAGTTGATTTTGCGCACTAAGTTGGTTAGTGGACTGTATTCAACTACACGATCATGCAGGATCAGACAGTATGCGGTAGTATTCGCTGGTATATTCTCTCTACACTCAAATTCTATCCGCACATCTACAGTGGCACTCTTAACAGATTCGTTTTGACGCGAACAATCGATAACCACGAAAGGACCATGCTTCAGAAAGTCGATAGTTGTTAACCATACCTCAGCACTGTTGTATCCATAATATGATTTAGCCGGAAACGGCTATACATATAATAAAGTATTGCATATCTGTTTTTTACAAAATCTAAATTCATGTCATCGTATGGATAACACTCTGAATTTAGATAGAGCTTTACGTTGGTTAAATTGCAGTTGTCGAATTGAGTTATATTTTCCGACATGACATTTTTTCGACTAGTTTGCAGGGCAAAGATAACGTATCGTGGTTTTTCCAAATTAGTGGCTGTTTTGACAGTCCACAGATGTTTGGTCGTGCTTTGCAGCAGAGGAAATTCATACAGATCCCATGAGCGGAAACTCATACTCAGGTATCGACCATTCTCCAATGTTCTCAGCAGGGCAAGTTTATTGATATCATTCAACATTACATGAGGCATTCGCCATTGTATCTTGAATAGCTCAATCTTAGGTTGCAACGCTGAAGATCCAAGTAGACTGTTGTTGTCACTGCGCGACCGTAATAAAATTAATTCGTGACGCGCGTTAATTACTACACGCTTGTAGTCTTTGCAGAATCCTAGCAACATGTTAAGTGGCACGCAAAAGTTGAAGTATCTATCTGTCGAAACAGCGTCAGTCGTATTTCACGCAGCATTTTTCATGGTGGTATTTTTGTCCGAAGATAACGATACATAGTTTTTCAGCGTGAAAGTTATTCTCACGTTTCTGTTACGATCAATCTCTGTACCATCCAGTTCGTAACGAATCTCATCAAACATAAATGCAACGCAATTACGTCCCAATGTTACAATCACACCATCGGCTTTCGCTTGTTTCGTTATCTTCCCCTCGACATAGAGATAACTCTCACACGGTAACGTGTACAAGTCTTGCTGTTGTATTCGTATCTCATCACTGTGTCCAAACGTTGTGTTAGCGTATGGGTTGTACGTGTGTGTTTCGATTTTGACGATGCGATCGTCAAAGACCGGACTACCTCCAATGTTCAAAATGTCAATCATCTTTTTTCAATTGTTTCGTACGATGTATCCTAGAGATTTAAGAAATTCAATATTCGCCGCGCTGAGTTTTTGTTTTATACAATCACGAGCATTGTTTGGAGCCGTCTTCGGTGCGATGAAATGTTCTCTCGGGTATCACTTAAAACTTATTATAAAAAGTCCATAAGACAACACCATATTATTCCATACAGAACAGAAACATTGCAGAAACGTTGCAGAAATATTTAATTGCAAGATTGCAACATTGCAAATACATTGCAAAATATGACTGTAATATTACTATTGTAAGAAATTAGAATATGTAGCGACATCTAACAACGTTAGAGTAAAGCTTCATGTCGTGGCGAGAACTGAGGTTCCCTCTCCTTCGCGCCGATACTTTAAATAGGTAGCTGGAAACGAAGGCGAGAGGAGAAGATCGAGGAGAGTCTTGCGAGTAGCGAAGAGAGCTAAGAGCTCCGGTTTTGTGGGCCGGTTAAGGTCAGGTGATAAACCAATTTAGTTAAAGGCGAATTAACGCTGTGGATACGGAATCCGTTCGCGTATCTAGTCAGATATAGTCTCGTTGGGACATTAGAGTAATAACGATCAGAGGTGCGGTCTTATTACATTTATTATTAGTACATTCGTGAAGCACGAGTCGAGCACGTGCAAGTGTGTACGCGTTAGTAGAGACTTCCATTGTATGACTTTGTCGGTCTAAGCCTGAGGAGCAAAGAGGAACTGTACGGTATAATAAATAATTGTTGAGTGTTCTCATTAGTGTTCATTATTCACGTTCGGTCACCTGTACTGTGGGATAAGTTGCTTCGTACTGGACAGCAGAGCAGCTATCCGCGGCTTATCTTACAGCAATACAAAAAGAGAGAAATAATCTCACAGCTCAGAAATGGGATTGCCGACTAAACTCGGGCCTAATAACAATTAATGAATAAAGAGGCAATTAGTGTATAGTGAACGGGATTAACATTAGTTATTAACATTTGGGAGCTGACCCAGCTTACCCGTGTAAATCTGGTTTGTCCTTCGAAGGTCAAGTGCACACGTGATCGGGTAGTGTCGGATTAGTGTCGAGCCACGTAGATCTCCAAAGAAAGACACGACGTTAAGTATTGATATTCAAGGACAGTAGGGACAATCGCTGAAAACATGGAAAGACGTGCGTTAGATGCCATGTCATTAGAGCAGCTCAAGGCTGAGGCAGGTAAATACCAGTTGAGGATTTCTGAAGATCGACTTCTGTTGATAGATGCTCTCATGAATCATTGGGAGACTAATAGTCCAATGGTAGAAATGATAGCGCAACCAAGGAGAACGAGCTCAAGTGCGTTAACGGAGGCGCGTCCTAGGGCGAGTAGCCAAGGTACTTCTACTGTAAAGGAATCGCAGTCAGTCGCTCCTGCAAAAATGATAAATATGTCAGAGTTGGAAAACGTGCTTACGAAAATGATGTCGGTGGTTACCAGTTGTACGCAGAATCAACAGCACTTTATGGAACAACAACGTATAGCGATGTAGCAGCAGCAGCAAGTGCTCTCTCAAATCTCCAATGTTATTATCAATGGGCCGAGTAGAGCAGGGGGTTGGCCGGTTAGGGAAACCTCTTCGTCAAGTGCCAGTGGGTTAGCAGAAGCAGTTCCGGATCATCCTTCAGGCCTTAATCAGCAGACGGTTACGAGGGTGCAACCGCAACCAGGGACCACTCCGTCAACAGGCATTTTATCTCTGTTGTCGTCACAGGTGCCAGAGTACGGAGGAACCGAGTCGGAGAACATCCACATCTGGGTTCAACGGGTCAACCAAGTATAATATACATAGTATTCCGGACAATTTAATTCTGTTAGTTGCAACAGCTAAGTTGATTAAAGATGTCAAGAGGTGGTTTGATTTTCAATCGGGAACAGTTCTAGAATCATGGTCAAATTTAAGTGCTAGTTTGATTAAAATTTTCGATAAGCGCATTCCATTTCACGTAACGATGCAAAAAATTGAGGCACGTAAATGGCAACATCATAAAGAAACCTTTGATCAGTATGCAATTGATAAATTAGCGATAATGCACAGATTAAATTTACCTATAGCGGACATAATCAACTTATTAATTAGTGGAATTACTATAAGTTCGTTGAGCGCGACAGCTCTTACGTTAGAATTAAGCTCCGTTGATGAGTTCTTAGTTAGAATGCGAGTCATTACCGGCGGAATGACATTCACAGACAGAAATGTCGCTCCGAATAGATCGGGAAATATTAGAGACCTTAGTTGTCGAATTTGTAATAGACGCGGTCATTAACAAAAAATTGTAGAAATAGCGAGTCAAGAATAAATGAGTTTACCTGTTTCTATTGTAAACAGTCAGGGCACTTAAAGAAAGATTGTCCTAGACTTCGGCGGAGGGAACAACTTCCGGTAGAGCGCTCAGGAATGATCGTTGCACAGGCGGATAATAAAAGTTCCTTCACGTCACGAGAGGCGCCGCATACGATAAGTCTGGTCATAGGACAAGAGTCACAGAATAATCAGACAGGGAATCCTTTTGTGAAGATAGTTGAGTTAAATAGATGCAAATGTGTTCTTCACGCGTTAGTGGACACGAGTAGTCCGATTTCTATTATAACTTTGAAGTTATACAAAAGATATTTCAAATTGGCGAATCAGAATCTGCAAATGCCAGAAAGTCAGTTTAGATCTATAAATGGTCAGGCGATTAGATTCGTTGGTATGATTGATTCAACCATGAAAGTGGAAAATCTGGGCGATCATGTTATAGAGCTTACATTCTATGTACTCGATGTTCCTGCTTTAGGAGCCGATATAATATTAGGACGAGATGTATTGGTGCGAGAAACAGCGGCAGTTACTTTTCCCTCAAGGACAACGGATGGTACAGCCTTGAATAATATGTTTCTTCGTGAATTACCTAGACCAGAAATAATTGAGGAGACAATAGGGTTAGATAATGTATTAAATAATATATCTATTGACTTTAATGAAGAGATACGGTCTCATTTGGTACAGTTGATTTTAGATATTATTAATAGCGATATACCTTTGGAGGAAGACGATTACTCGGTAAGGGTTAATCTTAAGGATCATACCACGTATGCATATGCTCCGCGAAAGTTCGCATTAGCCGAGAGGAAAAGTATTCGGCGAATTACAGATGATTTGTTGCACCGCGGAATCATTAAACCTAGCATCTCACCTTACTGCGCAAGGGTAGTGCCTATTAAGAAGAAAAATAATACAATTAGATTATGCGTTGACTTGAGACCTTTGAATGAACGTGTTGTTAAACAAAAATATCCGTTTCCAATTATAGAAGATTGCTTAGCAAAATTAACCGATAAGAAAATATTCACACTGCTAGATTTGAGAGATGGATTCCATCAAATACGGGTACATCCGGATCACACGAAGTTCTTCGCGTTTGCTACTCCAGACGGACAGTACGAATACACGCGTCTACCGTTTGGATATTGTGAAGCGCCTGCCGAGTTCCAAAAACGCATAGTTCAGGTGTTACAACCGCTGATTAGACAAGATAAGATAATAGTATATATTGATGATATTCTTATTGCGACAACCACTGTACAGCAGCATTTTCAAACGTTGCGGGAAGTATTA